GGGGGGGGGGATGGCTGCTTTGAAAGGTGGAACCTACAGCAGTTGCACCCTGCTGGACTCCCTCCCTTCTCAGGCTCTATCCCCCAAATCTCCAGGAATTTCCCAACCTGGAGGTGGCAACTTTATATTGGACAGTTGATTTAGAACAGACAGAAGAAAATAGCTTCCTCACATAGAATCATAGAATGTTAGAGTTGGAAGGGACCTTGCAGGTCATCTGGTTACATAATTCATCATCAGCCTGTTGTATTTGCCACTGAATGTGATGGCAGTGGGTTTAGAAGGTGAATTGGTTTGTGCTGTGCTTATATGGCAAAGAGCAAGAGTTGCTGCCACTAAACTGTTTTTCCCCCTCCACTTTGTAGGCCTCCTTGAGTTCTGATAGGGGTAGATAGGTAGGGGTGTTGATGAAGGTTGCCAACCTCCAGATGGGACCTGGAGATCTCCTGGAAGCATGGCTGATCTCTAGACTACACAGACCAGTTTCCCTGGAGAAAATAGGTGCTTTGGAGAATGAACTCTGTGGCATTTAACCCTGCCCTCTTTAGGCTCCACCCCCTAAATCTCCAGGAATTTCCCAACCTGGAGTTTGCAACCCTACTTAAATGGATTAAATAAATAAAAGCCATGATATCGAAGTTGGAACCTGTATTTTCAGATACAGTGTGGCTTCTGAATGGCATTGGAGGGAGGGGAAAAGTTTTTGCCTGCCTTGTGACTTTCCCAAAAGTACCTGGCCAGCCGTTGTTGGAAATGAGGTTAGATGGCAGATCCCGCTGGGGGGGGGGGGGGGGCATTTGTTATAGTTTGAATTAGTATTCTTGGTCTGAGCTGAAAAAGAACATCTAGATGGTCGTTAGTTTAAAAAAACAGTAAATGTGTTTGAAACTTTGCCCTTTGCTGATCTGGATGTTATGCTATGGCGAAGATCAGTGGTACTTATGCGTATTGTTTTTGTTGAAACGGGGGAACATATTAATAGATGAATACATTCTAAATATAGCCAGTGATCCAGATCCTTCTGCTACAGTTTGTGGGATATAACAACTGGCAGCCCTGGAAGGGGATTTGCGTTTCCCTGCACTCCAAACATCCATCTGGCCAATTCAGTGAGATCAGGACGAGCATTCCAGTCAGTCTGGGAATGCGTATTTGGATCTTTTCTAGCATTAGTGAAGTTGGCATCAGACTGCCTCCATGTGAGGAAACTCCCCTGCTGAATTGGAGCAAGTAACTTTTTAGTGATCGGTTCAAGAATGTCTGAAAGCCTTAAAAAAAACAATTGAAGGACGTGTGCTTACTTGATTCATCAGACTGTTATAATTTGTGTCCTCTTACCTGACTGCAGCATTGTTAGCCACTTTAAGTCCAAGCCAATAAGTGGGATAGAAATGTTTTAAATAAAGACACACACATCATCTTTATCGTATTTTAAGGTGCCAAGAAAAAGTAAAAATGTTTATTCACACACTGACCAAGGAGGCATTAATACTTAGTACGTATTCGTTAAAAAGCACACATATAATGCTTTTCCCAGAGTGTGCAAAGGGCTTTATGTGTATAGCATTTATATAGTGCTTTAGAAAACTCAAAGTACATAGCATACATTATTTCAGTGGACTTCACGGTAACCCTGTGCAAGCTAGGCGAGTATTAATATCTCTGCATTGCAGATAGAGTGAGGAGGTTTACTTTGTGATTTGGTAAATTCAAGGCTAAGGTGAGATTTGAACTGAGTATTCATAGCTCAGGGTCTTATCTATTGCAAGAGATTCAATTCCAAGAACTAGGCAGACGTTTTGACTTCTGATATTTTAAGCAATTGCAGCTGATTCAGGTGCCATCTGTCACTGCCAAAACTTGCAGATTAAGTGGTTACAACTAAATAAGGAGCCATATACATTTTAATTCTCTTGTATTCTTTGTATCTTGTATCAAAATCATATCCATGGTAGATTGTACAGCTTGTCCTGATTTCTTTTAAATCCAGGCGATTCTGACTTTCCAAACAAAAAATCTGCATAATCTAATTAAGAGCAAAAAAAGTTGTGCAGCACAGCAGTGTTTGGAGGATTGT